TTACCCCTCGGTCACGGCTCCAAACATCACCACTGAATCTAGATCATTGTTTACATTATGGATTTGACACCTCATGTTATGGGTTTGACTCCTCATTAAATTGGGGAGGATCTGTGACATTGTAATCCCCTCTTTTGAGGTTTGCAGGTGAATGATGTGTAAAGATATAAACGCAAATCCTTGCACCAGAGAACTGCCTGGTACTTTGCTTCACATTTCTTAAAGTGACAAGCACAACACTTTAAATGTAATTTTCAAGAGAGATACTTATAGCACCAAGCACGCCAGAGTAAATTCCTTGTACATGAAATCCACTTGGCTGAATAAAGGCGATTCTTTTTCCCGCACTCATTCCGACTGGAAGGTTTTCTTCAGCCCACAATGACAAACTGGCTCACACTGTCCTGTTCTGCAGTCTCATCTCTGCGGCCCAACTGTTGCACCAGACTCTTCCAGTTTTTGACCTGCTAAGTCACCAGACTGCCAGCATAATTAAGAGTGTGTGTGTTTTCAGAGGGTCTCAGTGAACTTTGCACATAATTTTTCTGCTAATGCTGCAGTATTTTATAAGGAGGACATTCAGAAATAGTTTGAACTTGACTGGAAGAATTCTAGACACAAGCTCTACTATGTAATTGTATACTGTGTTATACAGAAACGTGTGCCACATGACTATGTAACCAATTGTGCTAAAAGAGATTATCTCTGGGAAATAGGGAAGAGGAAGATGAGCGTAATCCTGGAATGCTGCCCATCTGATCAGCACAGGGACGTGTGACAACTAACAGAAAACTTTAACGCACTGAGTGACTTTTCCCTGCCCGCTGGCAGAAACTGAAAGCCCAGCTGAGGAGCAAGACCTGTGTGTGAAGCAATGAAGAGCAAAGCCTTCGAGGAGAGGGGGATGGTCTTCAGTAGCTGGAACAGAATCACAGAGCTCATCCCCTGTGCAAACACACTGCCGGCCTCATCGAGCCTCTGGCGCAGGGAGTCATTGCGCAGCTAGCTGGGCTGCTTCCTCAGTGAGGAGATATCTGGATCTCTTGACCTTTCACAGGAGGCAGGAGAGCACAGCTGTGTAAACATTTGTGCACATCTTCTCCCTGGCAAACCACTAGAGCTCTGCTTTCTCCTCTTCGTTCACTGACCTGCCTTCCAACAGTTTTTAAACCAACACCGTTTTCTTGAGTAAAACAGTCTATTAGTAATGTTCAACCCAGTTAAGTGGGAAAGCAATAATAAAGGCAAACAGAATGAGAGTGAATTTAAATCAAGGGATGTTGATTTAACAATGCATTAGTAAGACCACTATCAGAACACTGTGCACTATTTTGATCTTCACGAAACTAAATGATATTGCCGTTCTGTCCCGAGAAGAGCAACTGGATGCAATCCTAAGCTCAAAGAAATGACCAACACTGACAGAATAAAAGAACTGAATCTTTTAAGTCTTGAACAGAGAAGACTATGAGGAGACCTGATTCAACATCCTCAAAGGCCCCGACTAAGTCAACCAAGGGGGTTTCTTCAGACCAATAAACCACAAACCAGAGGATACAAGGAGAAACTACACATGCGGAGACACTTGTTTACACAAAGGGTTGTTGGAGTCTGGAGCAAGCTCCCCAGGCGATACCCTGGCTTCTTTTAAGGTACAGCTGCATGAGATCTTTGGATGAATTTGTTACTAATTCCGAAACAAGCTAGACGAACAAAACAGCCTCCTGTTGTTAGCAAACATTCTTGTGTTTCTACGCTGGATCACTCTAGATTGTGAAAAAAATCGGATCCGAGTGTTGACATCCCAAGTGTCTCAGGACCACCACTCCCTGCCATGTGAAAAGAGCACAACATGGCTTCTGGGAAGGGTTTTGTCATAGTACTCACTACATTAAAAAAGGAAAGTAACTCCACAGCTCGGTAGGAAGACTGATATTACAAAAATAAACAGCTTATTTTATGAGCTTTCCAATTCAAGGGGTGGTTCAAGGTCTGGGAAAGACAGTAAGCAAGGTTTTAATACATTTCATGAAACACAGTTCAGTTTTTGTGTGGTTCAGTCTGGCCCATATAGATGAGGTCAGGACAAACATCACATAGCTAACAGACACAAGCATGCAAGTCCAGCCTCAAGGATCTCCAGGTGAGCATGCTGATTAGCCGAGCCACAGGGCAGGCCCTCTCCTCCTGTTATATATAGGCTTTTGGAGGGTATGTAAACTGCTATTTTTGCTTTACTGTAAAACAATTTGTAGTATTGATCATAAGATCAATATGGATGAAAATAACAATATACATAAGCAGACAAAATGTTTGTATAGAGTTCAGAATTCATTCTGCTGCTGTGATCATTAGTCACATCATCAATACAGATGAGTGAGCCAGTTCCAGAGGTGGCCATGCATGTCCGGGCCATGACACTGTCTCCATCAAGCTTCTGAATTCGCTTGGAAGTTTGATGTTTTTATGGTATCTGGTAACATGAAGAAAAATCATGGATCCATTTAGTATGAATCTCAAGATACAATTAGAAAAACGTGATTCAAAGAATTTACACAAGGAATAAAATTCAGGCCAATCTGGTTATTTCTGCATCCACAGCTCCCATTTCAGGAAAGACCACCTAATTTCCTAAAAATTCATGGTCAAACACTGGCCTCTTGTGGCCACTTTGTATGAAGACGTTCACTGAGAAATTTAACTTCACATATTAATCTGCAAAGTTCAGACTTTGCAGAAAGGCCAATTCTGCCAAAATCGACTTACTATCTTCCAAATCAAAGTTTCTTAAAATATTATATAACAAAAAGATGGAAATTCTTGTTTTGAAACAGAGTCAGTGTCTCTCTGGGGACAAGGCTCACATAGAGCCAACCTGTTTCACTCAGACATGATGGCTCAATGGATCTGAGTGCATGAAAACTCACAAGGATGACACTGTACAGTGTGGGAGGATTTATTGTAGACATCAAGCCATAAAGAAAAGCTCTCTTCTCTCCACTAGAAACAGAAATCACCTCAACCTGCCTGCTTCCCTAAAGCCATTCACTTCTTACCTTACGAAAGCCCCTTTTATACCAACACACATCGCTCATTAATACCCGTGTGTTAATGTGTGATCTACACCTCTCCAATAATACTAGAATTAAGTGACACCCCATGTAAAGATTTCCAGGTGCTGGAGGCTAGCGGCAGGTTGGCTGTTCCTACAGTCCCCCCAGAGACCAGCCTGTCCCTCGCTGGTCTAGAGGCTCGGCCCTTTCTCGCATGGCTGTGGGCTGCAGGGATATCGGGGTTCAGGTATGAGATATACATTTCTTCAGTTACAGCTGTAATTTGTTAATGTTAATAGAGAAGTTGTGAACGCAATAAGGCCAACACTTTGAATTGTTTAAGCTAATATTTCTAACGTGGGAAAAAAAAAACAGTAAATGGCAGAAGGGTTTTATTCAGAATAGGGCAGTTCAGTTAATTTTATTTTTGTTGAGTCGACCCTTAGCTGATAAGATTCCATTAAGATCAGAGATCGGAGATCGGGTCCCTGGCCGACGTCGCCGGTCCTGGAGGCTGTGGGCAGCAGCCTCACCGGGCCAGGCAGGCGCCGAGCTCCTTGTCCAGGCTGTGCTTGAAGCGGTGGTTCAGGAACAGCAGCTGGCCGTGGGGCAGCAGCCGGTGCAGCAGGACCTCGATGCGGTCGGCCTTCAGCAGCACCTGGAACGAGGTTCTGTCCTCAGCTACAGCGACATCCGCCTCCGCCGTTTGAAGGTTCACGCGGTTAACAACTCGTTTACATTTACATAAATAAATCCACCCTTCACCGGAGTTCACCGGCTTAATACTGGTTAATACTTAATACAGACTTAATACTCCCCAGCACTCCCCTTGTCTCTCAGCAGTGTCTGACCTGTGAAACTATTTGCATCTCCAGGACTTCAGTTCTGTCCCTAGCGATTAGCTGGGTCAGCTCAGACTTCCACCTGAAGCCTTCTTAAAACTGAACGTCAAAGACTGAAGTGGGTCACAGACAGCGCCCACAGCGCTGCACAATTCCACGCCGGTGACAAGGACCTTACAAAGAACCAGAGGGACCATCACATCGCTACAGTGATTACTCCTTTCTCAAGTGTCACATAATATCTGCATATTTAATTACGGTGATACTGTTAGACGAGAAGGACAGCAATTTCAGACTGATGCTTTTCTTTCTGTTATTAACCAGACTTAACAAGAGTCACTAAATATTTTCAACAGACGACTACATTTTATATGCAAATTCCTTGTACTTGATCTGTAAACAAAGGACTCACAGCCCTTAAGATGTAGTATTTATAATAAGCAGTAAAAGCAGTGGTATTATTATTTTAATCAGTTATTATTTCTATCATCCCAAAATCCAAAAAATAGGTGGAGTCAGAACTGAAACACATTTCTTGGAATCATTTAAGAATGTGAACACCTTTAATTTTAAAAAAACATTTCTTTTCAAAGGATATAGCTACTTGGCTTGGTAGGATAGGGTTTCCCAAAATATGAATAAACCCCGTAATTCTAATATCATTCAATTCTGTAAATTAATGTTGGATTATAGAAAAATTATGGTGTGAAATTTTAGAAAAGGTCCCCAGTACATCTTAGGAAACCAACTGGAAGAATGGGACTAAATTTACTTAGCTAATGAAACATTTTTTCCCTGGAGAAATAAGACTCTAATACACAAATGCACACACAGTCAGCATTTCCTTAACTGCTGTATGTGTTATACTGCAGTAAAATCAGCCTTTTTAATGTTCTTTGCAGTTGAATCATAGTATAACATAACAGTGTATGTTATAACCCCCCCACCTCGTTAGAGAACTTCAGAAGTGCTCAAAGTCATGTGAGAAATGTGTGCTGTGTATTATTTTTAAAAACACTGAATATAATTTTAATGAAAATGCTACAACTCCCTGGATGGAGGTCAGCTCATATTGCCCAAGAACACTAAAAGCACGTTTTCTGAAACACCTGTCCCTTTACAGAGCAGAACGCTATGGGTCCAGTACCTACCTCACTTCCTGTGCCCAGCAGGCGTAAGTGCTCCAGGCAGTGCCGTGCCAGGCTGCGCAGGGTGCCCTCTGCAAGCAGCAGGTTTTCATGGGCTTCACAGACCAGCACGAAGCCCAGCGCCTGCACGCCCAGCCACACCACGGTGTGCTCGCGAGGAAAGGGGTCCCCTTCTGCCAGCCGCAGAACCCCACTGTCCGCCTCCTGAAGTGCCGCCTCCTCCTCCCCCAGAACTGCGCCCGTCTCATGCAAACCTGGCCGTCCTGCTGCCTCGCGCTGCAGAGCACACACACTCCTCACCTGTCTGAGA